CTCGGCGCCCTGGCGCGCCTGCAGGTGCGTGGTGGGGGCTAGGAAGCGGAGTGGGTGTTAGTCCGCCCCTCTGTGGGTGTTACATTACTGGGTTTTACTAAGTCCCTAAGGCTGCTAGCCAAGACCTCACACGTAAAGAGTTATTTATGAACCTGAAAACGTAAGTAGCGGGTGCGGGGTTGGGTTTATGGGACAAGTTTCTGGCAGTTTTAAAAGGATGATGCTTTGGTAAAAAAAATAAAAAAATCCTATCCTTCTGCCATGCTCGTTCCAAGCGAGGAGCCCTCCCCGTGCCGTGGGTGAGGTGGGATGCAAGCTTTCACCCAGTACTGCACAACTTGCAGTTGACACCTTCCTGTGCCCTGGCAGCCTTCCCCTGTCTAGGGTTAATAAGTGTTAGTCTAGCAGTTTGGCTTTAATGTAGACTTGGAAATACGAGCTCAAGGTCGTTAAGATTTGTACAGATCTGTACAACTGGAAGAATCCTTGGCAGAGCAGAGCATTGATTGACACCACTTAAGGATGACTTGACGGTTCTCTTGGGGTAACTGGCAGGAAACAACCTATGTTAGAGTATATGAAGAGGGTCCAAAAACTTGTAATTAATAAATGCCCTGTAGTCAGATACTTGGTGTCTCTGGGGTCCATCAACCTGGCAACTGAGGCCTGCTTCTGTAAAGTTTGAGGTGCTTACAGATACCACTGAGGACTGTAACGTGCTGAAAGCCCAGCACCTTGCAGGATCAGACCTCGGAGGGGAGGAGGAAAGCAGCTGCACGCTTACTTTTGAATAAAGGAAAGCCCTACACTTCAGCTCTCCTTCTGGGTTTCACATAGATTTTCAGGTTACACAGGAAGCCTCTCTTGCCACACTGCAGGTTAGAGGTTCAAGAGCTGGCAGTCAGGCATGAGATTTTCTAGCCAACCTTTGACTGACTGCTGTGCTCCCTGCTAACACGGGGTGGCTTTGCTGCCTTGCTTCGAGCCAGAAAATCACCGATGCTTGGAAGTGAGGCGGTGCACAAAGGTCAGAGTTCATTTCTGTTAGTTGCTCTGTGGTAGTACCACACTGGCATAAGGAAAAACAGCCTGTAAGCAGAGTACTTTGGATGCTAAACTAGAATATTAAATTCACTTCCCCCTGTTTTTGTTTTCTTAAAGCTTTGTAAATCTTGAGCTAAAAGCTGTAAGAAATGGGATGTATAACAAGCTATTACACTGGTGCTTAGGAGAAGGGCCAAAGACCAAGCTCTTGACCCAAGAAAATATCTAGTGTGTTTGTTCCCTCTTCCCTCCAGTGCCTGCTGCAGTTGCCTGTGTGGCGTAACATAGGATTTCCTGCTTCCAGAACCAGCTATTTCTGTACAGTCCTGGTGCCCTTCTTGGGTGTTACTTGATGGTTTTGTGCACCTCCTTGCAGGTGTTCAGTGCAGGTCAGGTCCAAGAAAATATAACTGGAAGAATAAGTAAAGTTCATAAGTAAAAACTGATGCTTTGCTTTTTCTTTTTTTCCACTAGACTGCTTTGAGCATACTTGACTCTGTGGGAATATTTCCTTGGGGCTGCTTTGAAAGCATTTGTCCACATCTATAATTTCAATCTGCCACTTGACTTGTGTGCAGATTACTGGGGCTTGACTGTCTGCAGGGTCTGGTCCAGAGTCGTCCTCACACAGTGATCCAGTGGCCCAAACGTTGCAAAGACATTTTGCAGCAGCTTGTCAAATGGTTCATCACTAGTGTGTCTAAGTAAACTTTTTTCTAGTGAAATGAGTTTAATGGGGGACATTTTATGGGGAAGGAAGATGACTCTATTGATTGAGTAAACAGCATGGCTTTGCCAGGCTGCTGATTATCGCTTACACACACACAAATAATAGATTAGTGTTCTGATCAGTGCTGTTCTTTGTGTAAACCTCCAACTGCTCAACTTTTGTAGCCTTTTCCCCATATCTGCTAGGACATACTACAAGAAGGCAATGTGTCTCAGAAAGTGAATATTAATATGGATATGCATATATTGCAAATAAAAAATTATGCTTAAAGAAGGGTGATCATGAGAAATAAGCAAAGCTGTGGGTTTATATAGGTACGGGTTATATTTTTGTTGGTTTTAATCCTTTCTGCCTTTGCCAGATTTTGTTGTTGTGGTTAAGCAGGTAGTCTTCTCTAAAGGTGTTGGGTTTTGGGTTGGGTTTGTTTTTTTCTCCTTCTCTACTGCTAGGGAAGGATCCAGAAACTGGCTAACAAGTGGGAGAGGAAACCAAGTGTATGGAGACAAATGGGAAATTACACTGGAAAAATGCAAGAACCCATTATTCTCTTTTGCCTATAAAGTAATATTGCCTACAATAAAAAGAGATATTTGATTTCTAAAAGAATGTTTCAACTTACAAAGACCTGAATAAGCTCACTCAAGGGGGTATATGCCTTAGCTTAAAAATACCCAAGAATCTTCCAGTTGAGTGATGAGATGACACAGAACACTGGGAAATACATAGGATGGTATTTTATAATTGGGCAGTTCTGTTAGTGTGTGGGGACAAGACCCATAGCTCACCATCTTGTAGGCTTCTTTACCCTTCCTATTTTCCTGCGTGGTAGCATGTAAGTTTTATAAGAGCACCAAAAGCTGCAAAGGAATGGGCGCCAGGTGAGCATGTCTTCTGAGGAACCAGAGGGCTACAGTAGTCAGTTCACTCTTCAAGGCACATCTCAGTTGAGGGCCTTTCAGGTTGTCTCATGGGCAAGCACATCAGCAATCCTTTCACCGCTAACTTGAACAAAAGTTAAGCTGTCATTTCGTGAGCACTGCTGTGTTTGCTGCAGAATTGGGTATGTGTGCTACTCTTGGAAAAAGGGCTACCTCCACTTTCTTCTCATCACTAGAAATTGTTAGCTAATGTTTAGGCCAGACTACTGAGAGGTTTGGATGTTGATCCAGATCTCTGCCAGACCTCTCTTCCCTTTCCAGGGCTCTCGTTTCTCATGGGGAGGTAAAAAAGGCTGACTTTAGCCCCACATGAGATGGGAGCTGGATCAAATCCTGCCTGTCCATTCCTCCTATGACTACTTGCAGACACTCCTTTAGCTGCCTCTTTCATGTCAAGAATAGCCAACAGCCCTTACCTTAAGTGGAAATTGATTCTCTGCCTTGGTTTCATTTGCAGGATTTTAAGCTCGAGTTTGGCCATCATCAAGGCAGGACAAGTTCTGTCTGGCATGGAGGTACAGCTACCATTGTTCAGAGCCCTGGAGACGAAGTGTGGGGAATAGTGTGGAAAATGAACGCTAGCAATTTAAGTTCGCTGGATAAGTAGGTGACTTAACTTTTGCTGTCTTCTTTAAGTTTAGAGAGCAATTGAAAAGTAGCAGTTAGTTTTTGGTAGAGCTGTGTGTAAGTTTTGGTGTTGGAATCAAGAAGATTCTTTGGATTTTAATATGTGAATTTCTCTTCACAGTCCATGTATTGACTTCTAACATGTTTGTGATTAAAATGGCTTTGTTCTCAAGCTAAATTTACTTAGGGGTATTTTAGTAACATGTGGACCTTGATTTGGAGCTGATATGTTGGTCAGGCTTTTTTTTTTTTCCTAATCCTTGTCCTCACAATATCTTGTCCCTGAAATTACTCTAAACTCTGTATTTGTCCTGTGACACTTTTCCCATTCCTTTAGGGAGAGTTTCCTTTGAGACTGACGTCAATTTCTGTCTCTATACGTATGGAGACTCCAGTTGTAGTGGAAAGGGAAGGGATGAGGACAAGACTTTGCAGAAGAGGAATAGATCTTTAATAGAGGGAAAGGGACCTTTTGATGAGGTTACTTTGCATACCTTCTCTAAGGATTCAAACTTTGTGAACTTGAGGTAAGTCCAAGCAGGGATTTGAGGTAGTTTTGTATTTTCCTTCGCATGGTAGAGACTGCCTGCACTTACGTTCTGCCTATGCGTGGTAATTAAGACAAGTTTAAGGTGACCTGAGCAAAGTCATTCCCAGAGTGAAGTCTGGAGGACCACCTGGCTAAACAAATAAAGGAGCAGCATAACTTCTTGCAAGATCTGAGGCGGGACTTAGAACTTAATCTCCAAAACTTTGGCTGGTGTCTGTGTTCATTGCAGCTTTCGGGATGTGCCTGCGCAGCATGGTGTTTCTGGTACACAAGGATCGTTTGTTCAGAGCAGTTCATCACTGTCAATTAATTCCAGTAGAAATATGGGCTAGTGAGACTAAGGAAGCAGGGCATATTAAACCCATTGAAAGCATTACATTAATACAGTTCTCCTGCCTCTGGTATTGTTGCAGTTTTGGTTATGGCTGCACTGTGCTGCATAGACATGTCCTTGTAACCTTGGCCATGAAACTTAAAGTTCCAACTTAATTTTCATTGCCTACAGTGAACCTGAAATTCAACAGAAACTGTTGCCCAAGTTCTGTTAGCACATCATGGGAATGGGCACACTCAGCACTCTCTCAAGTCCTGGTTGGGAGTACTAGTCCCAACCAAGAGGGTGTCTAGCTGGTATGCTTCTGGTTGGGGAGAGCTTCATGTGTCCCTGCTTTGTCTCCTCTGTTGCTTACACTAGCACTTACCTCCTGGTCCTCTTTCTGTTGACCGTTACTGAAATCTCCTGATTTACAGTGCCTTCCTAAAGCATAAACCTCAGATGTATAAAGATGTCTGGCAGCTTCTGGTTTGATAGTAGCACCGTGTTCCCCTGATTGGGACAGCATTTTGTATTTTAATTTCTAGAAGTGTTTTTTAATGTACTACAGAATTGCAGATCTTTGGCATTTGTTTTACAGGAGATAAACTTTAATGCTGGCTAAGATGCTAGAGTGCTATACCATCACCAAAAACTACAGGATGGACACTAGCATTAAAGATTGCTTTTTCCCAGCTGCCTCATTGATGCCATGGAGGTGGACTGGAAATGGAAGGAAACAGGATGTCTTCTTGGCTTTTAGAATGATAGTCAATATATTCTCCTAAGGATTAGTCCTAACCAGCTCAAAAGAGCTTTAATGTGTTTCTGCTGAAGATCTTGGGATTCTTTGGCTATGTGCAAGCAGATGTATTTGTAAGTTCTCAGTCAAGTTATTTCCTGGAATTGCCATGTATCAAGTAAAAGAAAATTTCACTACTTGCCCCCACTTCCCCCCTTGCTCCCCCCAGTATGGATAAAGAAGCCTGTGTTTTGTTACCCATAGGCAGAGAAGGGAATGTATAATTGATGCTGCATGTTGTTACTTGAAGTACTAATAAAACAACTTAATGTATAGAAAACAAGTATGGGAGGGGAATCTTTTGCTTAGAAGGCTGAACTGTTTGGCTTCAAATGCATTTTGGTGCTGTCTCATGGTCAGATCTTTTTTTTGGTCCTCTGTACTTCACAAATCTCTAAGTTACAGACCACATAATGACTTTTCCTCATGTATCCTAGAAAAGGACATTACTTAACTGTAACGTTTTACTTGTTTTCACACACCCATGTGACTTACTTTGCAGTCTGTTGGCCTTGAATCTGCAGTTAGCTTCCAGTCGCTACTTGCATTTAACCTAGTCACTCAAATTACCTGGCTCATGTTATGTACATTAAATAACTTGAAATGGTAGTAAGTCTTTGAAAGAAAGATAAGTTGTCAAAATGCTATTTTGATGAGCAGCTTTAAAACCCATATCTAAAGCACATAGAGAGGTAATTACGCTATAAAGACTTTTATTAGTGGCTAAATGCTAATGGTTAAAGACAACAAGTAGCCTTGTTTTTGAGTTTGGTTTTGTTTTCCTAAGACAGCGTGATTTTGCTAATAAAAAATAACAATTGTTTTTGCCGTGATCTAGCTCATTGTTGCCGTACATGTCTTGCGCAAATTAAAGCGTGTCTTGGATTATTCACTGGAATGCGCATTGCAAGAGTTGTGCGAGTTTCCCCTTATTCAAATGTAACACAATGGGCAAGATAAAAATTTGCAATTGTTTCATTATCTGAGCAGAAGGCAATGAACGATATGTGCCTGGCTCATTAACGCTGATAATCTTGGTTGTGTTTCTCTTGTAGATTACCAGACTTGCACAGCAATTAATTCACAAGGAGTATTTGCTCTCTAACTTTGGAAGTTAACCACTGGTCATCTTTCTTACAGAGCTGAAATGATAAAAGCTAATGCCACTGCTTCTTTAGAAATTTATTTTTGGATATGAAACAAGTTTGCCCAAAAAGTACTGGAATTTGTTGTGCTTTAAGTCTGTTATCAGCACAGACCAGCGTCCTGCCTTGAATTCTGTTTTAATAAATGCATACGTTTAATTGTACAGTTTCTTTGAAAGATGTATCAGTTACTTGGCATAAAAGAAATATATGTCCTTTACAGGCAAGAGGGAGTTGAAGATGGCATTTATGTCCCAATAGAAGTTAATGTCCACACTCAAGAAGGAAAGGTACTGACCTGTCGAAGCTATCAGATGAAGGACTATGTCTGTGGTCCCCCTTCTCCTCAGTATAAAAAGGTTGGTGTTGCATCACTGCAGTTTTGGAGAGAACGAACAGAGATATATAATGCAGTACTTCTGCTCTGTTTAAGAAGTGCTTTATTTACAGTGGATGGAAGGCATGAGTAACCAGTGTAAAGGTATAACTTAATCCTTGTGCAATGTAATAGTGTAATGATGCTTGGAGAAGGTTGCTAGCTCCTAAAGGCCTACTAAATCTGTTTTATTTTTTGACTTAGTTATGTCTTACATGAAGCTTCCATTTAACTCATGAATTAGTTGTGGCTGACACAAGGATTTCTGAAGGATGTTGTTTAGATATATGCAGCGATTCTCTGTTTGAAAAATGAACATACTCCACTAAAAGCTCCTGTGGGGAGAATATACCACCTGGTTTTTAATCTCAAGGACACAGATTATCCCTATTGTCTTATGAAATATCTTACTATCATTTAATAGCAGTCCACCTGGTTCCTTTTACCATCATCAGTATATCATGTATATCACAGGACCTCAAGCAACATTGCAGAGCACTGCAGGGTTCTCACTTGATGGCTGGTGAGGCAGAAGTGTTTCAACACTGTTCTGCAACACACTGACTTTGTAGAGACACATGATCCAGTCACGCAGCAGGCCTGACCTGCTTAGCTTGTGAGATCTGATGCAGGCCGAGCCTCGGGTGGCATGACTGCATGTCTAGAACTGTGTAGCTATTAGCAATTACATATAGACATCACTGTAACATGTTGACGTTTTCCACTGAAAGCAAAGAAACAGGGCTCAAGCTTGTTAAATCCCAGGTGTGCTGCCTTCCTGTAACTGAGGAGCTTGCTCCTGTGAATCAGCTTCCAGGAGCAGAGCTAAGGTCAGCTGCTGCAGAACTGCTGAAGAGAAAGCTTGCTCAGAAAGCAGGCGCTGCTTCTTCAGAAACCTCCTTCCTGCCAACCCGCTTCCTGTCAAGACAGATCTTTTGGGCTTTTCAGGGAGTTAATACATAGTCTGCTGCTGTGTGTCTGCTGCTAGTTTGCTGTAAGAGCAGACTGCCAATATTGGCAACTTTATCCAGCTAAACATTCCCTCCTGCTTTTGTCAGGGTCAGTTGTTAGTTCTCTACTTTCCTTCTGCCCCCAGCTCTTATTTGTTTAAGTTGACCAGGCAGGAGGGCTAAAAACTTAGTACAGGTGACTGCATCTGCACACAGTCACAGTGATCTACGTTCACCTATGGTTGTGCACTTTTTGTGGCAAATTTTTCCTTTCTAGACACTTCATTCTTGAATTTTCTGGCTGTTGAATGCATGAAATAATACTTACAATAGTGTGAGCTTTTAAAATCTGCATGTTTATCTGTTTATTTCTATACAGGAGCTTGCTAGTGTCTCTTTCAAGCCTTGGCTCTTTTCGTCTCACTGTCACTTCTTTTGCGCCAATACTGAAGTTTATTTTGCATGTAGAAGGATAGCTGCAGTAACAAACTTTAAGGAATCTGTGCTTTTTCACTAAGATAAATACCTGTTTCTGTTACTCCTATCACCTGTGTAGGTACTCACTGTTGTGCTTTGATTTTGATAGGAACAGCTTAGTTTTAAAAACAGCTTCAATAATACATGCTGCTTCTCACTCAGATGTGATACTAAGACTGACTGAAGGCATAAAAAGTCGATCTCCTCAACAAAAGAAAGAATGGAATAACTGAATAACAGTTTAATTGTAGTCTTGTGCACATTTGTAACATTTCAGAATGGTATGTCTTGGTAGTTACTTTGCAGAGTAATTTTGTTGACACTATTAAGGTCTTCAGTGGTCTTCCAGAAGCCTTTGGCTATCTTTAGGTACAAACAGCATTATTTGTGACTAGTTCCCTTGTTACCTTAAATGATTCTTCCCCGTATGAGTAAATGTTTGGAGGGGTCTGTCCTTCCTAACACTGTTATTGAAGGCTTTTCTCCCCCCTCCCCCCCCTTTTGATTATAGGTTATCTGCATGGGTGCAAAACAGAATGGCTTGCCAACTGACTACCAGAAGGAATTAGAAGCTATTGAAACTAATAACTATGCAGGCCCAGTGCCAATCATGGAAGAGATTGAAGCTGCTATTAAAGCAAATAAAATAAATTCTGCGTAGAATACCTCTGCACTTCACCTTGATACCTCTCCTCACTCTGCTGATCAGCAATTTCTTTATTTATGAAGAAAAGATGAGTTTGCTGTGCACCTACAGTAAGCCATTAGACATAATTTGCAGTCTGAAGACACACTGACATTGGTAACCTTTTTTCTTTGTATGTATAGCTTGAGTACATGCTGAAGTTCCTGCAGATTTTTGAAATTATCTTTCTGTAATTGTCATGCAGCACTTCATGCAAGTTTGTGCTTCCTGTCCTGTTTACTGGCCTTTTTACAAGAAAAAGGCTGTCTCGATGAGTATTGGCATCTGTTGCCTTTTGAGGAGCAAGGACTGCAGGGTCAGGCCATTTGTTTTTAAGTGTTGTATACACAATTGTTGAGAATTTCAAAGATTTGTTAGTTGCAAAGTAGACTCAAAATTCTAAACCAAGACTAAACTTTGCTGCTTTGCTTAATGGTTTTAAGCCCAACCTATCTGGAGCTATAGAGTTTCTGTTTATATAGTTAGCAAACAAAGAAAATGAGTATTACTATTTTTTTTAACTATCTCCATGTATTTAAGTGTTAGTCCAAAAGGCCATCCAGGCCTGAAGGCAACATTCAGCAAAGGATCTCATTCAAAGCATAATGGCTTCCTCCTTTGTGTATCTAGTAATCATCATCAGTGAAGTGATTAGGTATAACCAACAGATTTTTTAAAATTTATTTTAATTAGATAATTCAAAGGTTTTTTAAATTACCTTTTTGACTGACTTGCTGCTTATCTAGGCCTTAGTCTTATGTCCAGTGAAATCAGGAAATAATTTACTTTATGGTTTTATCTATTAAATCCCAAATGAACAGACTTGACCTCTTTTTCTTTTTTCTTTTTTTTTTTTTTTCTTTTCCTCTCCCCCCAGCTTTGGCAATCTCCTGCAAAACTGGAAGCTCTTATAAGGTTTAGAGTTCTTATCTTCATGGTACTTGGCAACCCCTGTAGTTAGTCTGTGGGGGACAAGGAAAAATTGACAACCTGGAAGATGTCAAACAACTGAACTTTGGCTTATCTTCTGTACAATGTATTTCTTTTTTCTCTTTCTTGATGTACAGAGAGGTGTAAGATATAATTGGTGTCACTGTGTGACTGCTTCGATAAACAAATGACAAAGTAACAGACTTACCACGTCTTCACCACATAAAATTTTTCTGTAAACTCTTGCCAGGGATGCATAGGTGCTGTCCTGATGTCATATGCCCATTTCCAGAGTTGAGAACGGTGACTGCAGTAGAACACAGTACTTTCTGTATTAGCACTGTCTAGTCTGAACCTGAATGAATAAAACTGCAATTACCAAACCGCTTCCCTGTCTCTTCAATGCATGCTTCAAGAATATCTGTGTTGCTTCTGTAAGGGAAAGCTGGCCATGTGGAAAGGTCATTGAAACTGCCATTGCCTATTTGCATCTTTTAATAGTGCAATTTTAGTATGAGGGGCAAAACTATGAATGAACACACCCCTCAGCATCAGCACCACTTCTTTTGCTTTACCCTTTTTTGGGGCTTTTTAACTTTTAAATCGGTATTTTACTCTTGCAAGAAGAAAATAGAAACTTATGTCCCGAAAGCCTCTTTGGGGGGAATTGGCAGAAGGTACTGGATGCCCACTGCTGAGGAAAATGATGGGAGCTCCTGAGGGCCAGAGGAAAGCTTCCTTCCCTGCGGTGGGACCCCCAGCACATCTCTCGGGGCCTGAGGCCATCTGCCATGCTGGTATGGGGGGGGAAAGGCAATGTTCGTGAAGAAGAAGCAGCCTTCGCATGCCTGCGTGGGGAGGAGCCGCGTCCCGCCGGGGAGGAGAGACCGTGTGTGGGGCGGGAGCACCTTCGCAGGGGTGGAGGGAAGCACCCGTGGGCCGGCCGCCGCCCTGCTCCTCCCCTTGCCT